AAAAGAGACAAGAGGAAACTCATTCACGCATCAAAACCACTTTGAGGATCACGTTAAAATGTAATGCAATGTATAGCATACTAGAGTGAGATACATGGAAGAAAATGCTATATACAATGCTGTATACAATGCTGTATACAATGCTGTATACAATGCTGTATCAAAATACAACCCTGATACCCTTGAAAAATCAAGGGAGTCAAAAGAGAATCAGAGACAACAGTGTAAACATGGAAGGTCTGCAACGCGTCACAGTCATGTCGTGGCGCAGTGGTCTAAGGCGTGTGCTTGGGAGTATACCCAGACCACAGGTTCGAATCCTCCTCACGGCTCCCAACTGATTGTCTCACCCCCTTCACAGTCCTCACAGCAAAGATAACTAAATGTCGCTGAACTTGAAAAGTTCTCACAGAAGTTAAGGCATCGGGAAGTATGTTATCTTGAGATGCTTTCGGGGCTTAGCGTCCCAGCGGCCCGGTCCTTGACCAGGTCTCCTTTTTTGTTACACATCCCCAGGAAGCAGCAGCCCGTAGCAGCTGTCTAACTCCCAGGTACCTATTTACTGCTAGGTGAACACGAGCATCAGGGTGAAAGAAACCACAACCATCCCCACCACAACCAGCCCCACCACAACCAGCCCCACCACAACAACCACTCCTGAAGCATGGCGGCAAGCTACCCACACTAGCACACGAGGGCTTAAGATAGCAATAAACTCGATATTGCTGAAGATAGCAATAATAAATAGCATTGCAATAGAAGATTGCAATGCAATGGAGGCCTGGTCGACGACCGGGCCGCGGGGACGCTAAGCCCCGGAAGCACCTCAAGGTATACACAACATATGCGCCACCGCTAACTTCCTTAACACAAAGCTTGGGTTGCAAATTGGGGAAATAAGTTGTAGCAACGTTGGTAGAGTCGTAAATTTACACCGCAAGCAACTCATAAAGAAACCTAAGGCGTCACGCCCAAGAGGTCTTCTGTTGCTTAAGGTGGACCAAGTAGAGGGGGGGACACTGTATGATGGACACGTGATTGGTGATTGATAAAGATTAGGCCACCCAGGCGGTGGCACGGGCATGAATAGCCCCGTAATCCGAAGATGTAATATCATTCACAACAGAAGATTGAAACTAGTTCTAGGGATTTATTGATAGAAAAGACAATGGACTAGACAGTGGCTCTCAAGATAATCTTCCAGGAACGTTAACAACCCATTTGCGATGATCCACAACTCCTCCAATCACTGGCGACGTGTGACGACGGATTGTACGATTGGATCGTACGTCGTATTTCAGCAACGCATCACCAGGTGACGTTTCCAAGACGTGGGATCCACGGAATTGGATTTGCTGGGATTAGGTCCTTATATCCATGAGGATAAAGATGAGATCTGCCATCAAATGCAGTGAGGAATCTACCATTTTCAACCTGTTAGCTAAGATCACACATATACACACACACATGTATTTACATATACATGTATTCACATATAAACACACACACAATCGACTTGAGAATGGTCCAGGACGGACCGAAACGTCGTCGTCCCTTCACCTTCTAGTGTGTGGTCTGGTCAACACACACATACACACACACACACACACATACACACATGTATTCACATACACACACACACACTCACATGTATTCACATACACACACACACACATGTATTCACATACACACACACACATACACACACACACACACATACACACACACACACACATACACACATGTATTCACATACACACACACACACACTCTCTCTCGTTTCTTTCCCTATCTTTCAATTCCATCTTCATCAGTGTATCATCACATCTGGCGGTCATCTATCACCATTTGCTTGTCTCTCCTCCTCACTATCTCTCTCTGAGGCTTCACGACCACCTCCAGCTCCCATGGCTCTCTCACCTCTCCCTTCCCTCACCTATCCCTCCCTCACCTCTCCCTCCCTCACCTCTCCCTCCTCTCACCTACCTATCCCTCCCCACCTCAAGCACTATCCACCTCCCCTATCCCATACCTTAACCCCTACCCATTGCCACTCTCCCAACGCTGCTTTTCTTACACGAACAAGAGCAAAAGTCTAATTGATTCTGCATTGAACTACTTATTAATCTGGCAATACGGGCGTGCACGAGCGCGCGCGCGCACACACACACACACACACACACACACACACACACACACACACACACACACACACACACACACACACACACACACACACACACCAGTAGGCTCAGGAATCTGTACATCAGTTGATTGACGGTTGAGAGGCGGGACCAAAGAGCCAGAGCTCAACCCCCGCAAGCACAATTAGGTGAGTACACACAAAATTAATTCATCCCATATGCCTTATTATATATATAAATACATACACCTGAAGCATACCTGGAGAGGATATCAAGAGTCCTTCTACCCGACCAAAAATCCTCCCCTCCTTACTCCAATTCTTTCTATTTTTCCTTTCCCCTTCTTTCATCTATCCACCTTCCCCCCCCCCCCTATTCCGCAGGATCACGCGCGGCAGAGGACGATGACCTGGAGGATAGGGGGGATAGGGGGGGATGGGGTTAGACCACACATACGCTCAAATACGCTCCAGTCCCCCACTAGTGAGCCTTAGTACGCACCCCCCCCCCCACACACCCCACAAGTTACGTACAAAAAATATACGCATTCCTAAGAAACGTTCCTGAGAGTTACGCGAAGAAGTTACGTAACGCAAAAGTTACGAAAGTTACGCAGAAAGACACCTTCCCTGAGAGAAAGTTACGCAGAAAGACACCTTCCCTGAGAGAAAGTTACGCAAAAAGACACCTTCCCTGAGAGAAAGTTACGCAGAAAGACACATTCCAGAGAGAAAGTTACGCAAAAAGACACATTCCAGAGAGAAAGTTACGCAAAAAGACACATTCCAGAGAGAAAGTTACGCAAAAAGACACATTCCAGAGAGAAAGTTACGCAAAAAGACACATTCCAGAGAGAAAGTTACGCAGAAAGACACATTCCAGAGAGAAAGTTACGCAAAAAGACACATTCCAGAGAGAAAGTTACGCAAAAAGACACATTCCAGAGAGAAAGTTACGCAAAAAACCCACACATTCCAGAGAGAAATTCTCTGGAAAACACACATTCCAAACCCTATAAGAATAGCAACCCGTTCTCGCACTTTCGTATAGTCAATATTGACTTATTAAATACGTGCATATGTGACATACTAAACATACTAGTATACCTTGAAAAGCTTCATAGAAAACACCGACCTTACCTAACCTTCTTAGTATGTTAAGATAAGCATCTTATTGCTTCGTAATTACAATTATTACTTAACCTATTATAGGTATAGGTTAAGTAATAATTGTAC